TTTGGTCACAACTACCATATCAGAATGCCTCAGCAGGCATTAAAGCTCGGTGTGAACCAGCATTATCTGGTGATTATCTACTATATGTAGTGAATCTACATTATCCAGATTCAGCTCCTGCTTCTGCGAGAAGCTTTCTGCTTAATCTAGAGCTGATCAGCTTTCCTGACATTTCTGCTCACACTCAAGTTCTTCAATAAAGCCTCTACCCATGAGCTTGTAGAGGACTGAGCCCTGGTTCCTCACAACTACCAAGTCAAGAGAACAACAGAACAACACCCACAGCTTGACTCATTGAGCCCATCCTTTAAAAAAATGGTTAAAAATAAATGAAGCATACAAGAACATGAAAACAGAAAACATAAACATAACAACAACAAATGATTTTTGTGAGCTTTCTGTAAGCATCTTTTTACCATTAAATGCTTCAATAACTTGCTGGAGGGTTTCTAGGGATATTCCACTGTAGCCTTTTGCTAGGACATTGATCCTTAGTCCTAGCAGCATGCGGGACCTCTCTGGGGTTAAAGGTTTCCCCACACCTGAAACAGCAGTGGGCTCAGTTATTGACCTGCTATCAACTGCACAAAAAGGGAAAACACTGAATAATTTCTCATTACCTGCAGAATGCGAACGAACCAAGTTCATTTGAAGCTCCCTACAGAAAATAAAAGAGTTACACAAGAAGCTCTTTCAAAGGCAATTTCTGTTTTGCACAAAACAGAAACAGCAAAGCAGCCCCCTCGCGTCTAGCCACAGATGAATAAGCAGTATGCAGTATGCAACATGCTTCTCTGCAGTGCTTTGTCTTCTTTCTTTCCCCAAAGGAAAGGAGGGAGAAAGCTGCATACATAACTTACATCAGTTTGCTGTTTGGAATGACAGTTCTGGCAAACTTCCCAAACCCTGTGGTGATTCCATAAACAACTGCAAGAACCATACATTTCTGGTTAAGGAGAGAAAGTTTTCAAAGTGACTGACAAAAACGATTAATAGAGATGAGACTCTTCACCTGTCTGTTCCTTTACAATCCTTTCAATCACTTCTCGCGATTGCTTGACTTTGGCTTCAGCTTCAGGGGTGAGCTAGAAAATGTGCATTTTGAACATTAATTTATGTATCCTCATGTAAATTCTTATTGTAGGAAGATAAACATGTGATTTATAGCCACATTTGTTCAGAAGTCTTACCTTTATCTTGTAGAGCCCTTTTCCTAAGTTGACCAAGTCCTGTGTTGTTAAGCTGTTGCCATCTAAAGAGATATACTACACCGAGAAACCTTTTAGTTTGTGATACATATACACATAACATTAATGATCAGAGTTACAGAACAAAACAAACAGGCAGAGCTCAGCAATGATGAGAAGCTCGTGCATACTCTCATCCGTAAGACAAGAACATCATAATAAAAATATAATAAGGAAACTATAATACATGTTTCTAGGCCCAGCAGAACTGACAGGCACCAATGTCACGAATACTGCAGTGGTTGAACTCTCAACAAGCTCTGATAAGCAGATCATTACTGAGCTGGGCAATCGTTGGCCATTCCTACCTGTTCTGGTTCTCGATATTTGCTATATCTGAAAGTTCTGTAAAGGAAAATGAAGGGCAAAAGGGTTGTCACATGCAGTAGTGTCTGATTGGAGCTGGCAAAATGTGTTTAGAATGAAGGAACACTTCAAGAATGTGGAAATCTAGAAAACTGTGTATCTGGAAATATAAAATATTCAAAGAAGATTCAAAAAAAGGATACAAATGAACTCCTTCTGGCTGAGATGGTATGAAGTCTGGAGACATTATATCTCCTTTTATAACTAGAAGAGATAGATGCAAAGTGAGTAGGAACAGAATCTAACCATATTCTACATACAGATGAATATGTTATTAATTACAGTACATAACCTTAAGTAATATAACTTGCAGTTGTCAGCACCAAACATGTTTGTATGCCTCCATGACAATAACTAGCATTCATGTAGTTTATTTTATGTGCTTCAAAGATGAAAACAGGACAGTCCAACGCCTGGACATGCTCCATACCCCAATCATCAGCAGTACATGACATCTGACACAGATGATTGTACACAGCATCCCGTAACTTCTAAACCTTAAATAGTTCTTACTAACAAAGGTTGCATTTGGTTGTTTTTCCATATGAACCTTTGACACTGTCTCGGATACAACTTTAGATGAATTAGAGTGCAGCTGCCGACTCAGGCAGCAATGCAATCGTTCTGTCACACATCACCTAGGGTTTCGCTTACCAACTTCAACAAACTCGTTGTCCTCCAGGGCATCCTCCACTGTATCATCAAGATCCAGCAAACCGAGACCTTTGCACCTCCGAACAAAAAACTTCACTTCTTCCACTGAGGTAAATCCACCGTTATCAGGTTTGTTCTTCATGTACCTCCTCACAGCCTCCTTTCCCAGCCATCCAACTGTGTTCGTGCCGTATGGGCATGGCACTGCCAGCCATTCTCCTCGGACATGCACTGTGTATCTTAGCATGTTTCCTCCTCAGATTGTTCCTCGCCTGAAAGCAGCCACAGTGAAGCAGCCTTACATTCACACACGGCAGCCTGGAGAGCGATGCCTGACTGGATTGCAGTGTCCCGATCAGATAAAGGCAAAAATCCTCCCCCAGAGTTCCCCACCTTTGTAAATAAGTGAGATCAATGCATTCAGCTAACTTCATCCAATCAAACCAAATCGAGGGAGCACACCCTTTTCCTGGAAAGGGAAAAGGAAGCTACTGTCACAGGATTTTTTTTTGGCCAAAGATCAGGAATATAAAAGTGAAAATCTAGGAGCTGAAGTTAATGTATCAAGAAGAAATAAATCAGAGTAAGAGGAAATGCAGCTGCTCTGAAAAATTAAGGGCTTAATGAGAGTTAACAGAGCTGTCTGTTAACTAAGAGCATGGCATTAGCTGCATTTGAAAACCTTCATGAAGGACAGGGCTGGAAAGTATTCAGCCCATGATGGACTGGTCATGGCTGTTGGAATTGAAGGGAGACTGGACCCTTAGCTCTCAGTGTAAGACTAAGACTACACTCATAGTCCTAGTGTAAGACACTGCTCGCTCCTGCGCTGAAGTTTTAGGACACAATATTCTAATGCAGGTGAGAAGATTCATGAACTTCCCTCCATTACTCTCTCACATGTGCTTGGGATGATACTGTCAGAATGGTAACAACAAATAACGGGCCACATGTGCTCACCATCAGGACTGGTGCTGCTATTACAAATTTCTTCTGCAGATGCAAAGAAGAAAAAATGTGCAGAAATACCAATTAGAATGGTGCTATAACAACGTTTAGCAATGACCGTGCCCACACAGAAGATTGGTGGAAGTCACTGTGTAGGAACCATCACCTGCAGAGCTGGACACTATTGAAAGCTGCATCTGCCACTGCCTTTTTCCTAGCTCTGGCAGCAAGAAGTCAAGATCAGATGTCAGTATGAACTGCTAAATCACTATGCAGGATATGGACTTTTATGACTAAAAATGTTATCCCAAAAAGCAATGAAAACAAAGGGTTTCATTGCAAGAGAATAGCTTGAATGAGTACCAGATACCCCCTCTTCCTATCAAAACCTTTTCTGAGAAGATCTCCATTCATTCAGGCACAACTGTCACAGGAGACTGATTATATTTTGGAGTGAATGGAAGGGACAGAGTAATCTGAACTAGAGAAAAATTCCTTTCAGTGAAGTTTCCCACTAGAAGTTATCACTCAGAGGGGCAGCAACAAAAGTCTCACTAAGTGTCTCTCTTAAGTCCTTAAGGCAGGAAAGTCTTAGCAGTTTTAGTAGTTTCTTCGCTATTCATTTAATGCTATTTTGGTTCCAAAAAAGCCAGTACCTTTAATGACTTTGTTAAAAGATGTCTGACAGAACATTAATTAAAAAGTTAACTAAAATGAGCTTAACAGATATATGTAGATTAGATCAGAATGAAAGGACCCAGTATATCTTGATTTAATAAAATCTAACAAGATGCATTCAGGCCTTAATTTATGTTAGAGCTGCTAACAGGAAAAGATGAATCTCCTGGTGAAATACCTAGCTTCATCTACTGGAAAGCCTAATTAAAACTCAGAGAGAAATTAATTGAATGAGTCTCCATTTCCATTCTAATTGCAACTATTCACCATAATTTATGTAGTTTTCTTTCTCCTTTAGAATAGCATTTTCCTGCTCTCTGTCACTCCTTGATATGGGGTCATCTCCACGCCAACGAATTAAAATTATGCCAACTGATCATTTCCAGGAAAAGTTCTTCTCAAATTCAGTTCACAGAGTAACCCATAGATGGCAGCATTCGCAACGGCTTCACCTCAACTAACAACAACGGGGAGAAACACAGCCAGCCCTCTTCCTGCTTTTAGCCTTATCTCTAAATTGTTATATTAGCATAGAGCAGTTCACAGCCAGAGCTGTTTATAAAATGGAAATATTAAACAAATTCAAAACCATGAAAGAATTAGAAAAGTATCACAGAATCAAAGAACATTGTTGCAGGGACCACAAGGATCATCGAGTCCAGCTCCAGGCTCCACCCAAGACTACGCAAAATCAAACTGGGCTGAACAAACCTAAGAACCTCAGCTACTCCTCATCTTGCCCTTAGACCCTTCACCATCTTTGTAGCCCTCCTTTGGTCACTCTTCAATAACTTTATGTCCTTCTTGTATTGTGACACCTAAACATGACCAATTAGGTGTGCAATGGCATAGAAGGAGATCAAGTTCATTAAATAAGACTTTTCCTGCATGAACTCATGAGGACTGTTGACCAATGACTGCGCTGTCTGCTATTTTACCACAACTCCCAGAATAATCTTCTCCATAACCCTGCCAGGAACCCAAGCGAGACTGACAGGCCCATAATTAGCAGGCTTGTCTTCTTGTATTTCTTGAAGATTACAACGTTTGCCAGCTTCCAGTAAATAAGAAAACTATTATTTTGATACAGATCAATACACAGACAAGTGAGCAATAAAAAGATTTATTTTTCAGTTGTCAGATACTTGAAGTTTTAATTGTATATTGCTATGAAAGAGAAAGCTGTGCACAAAGAGCCACACTCTTTCCAGGTTTTTAAATCCCATGACTGACAAATGACAACATCTCAATATTTTTTGTGTTCTACCAATTGCTTGCAAAGAAACCTTTCTCCTAGTTCCAAAGATTCAGTGATTTTTGCAGTATTACATGGAATTGCAAAATAGAAAGTACCAAATTTGATCTAAATAGTACCAAAGCAGCAGAACATTTTACGCCATCATCAAGCATGCATACAAACAGTTTGCAGAATCAGCAATAAGAAAATTTCAAATGAATCAATAAGTTTGTCACTGATCCAGCTTTAAGTCTTTGCCCACAAGCATTGATGTGACTGGGTGCATACAGGCTTTATGCTCCAGGAATGTCTTGACAGCAAGATCTCGAGACTTGTCAAAATTGTAAAGGTCCCTATTAAAAAAAACAAAAACAAAAACCACACTTCATATACTGTTATGAGAAAAGGAAAAAAGACTATGAAAGAAACAAATGACAGTACAATGGCTCAATGAATATTTTCTCAAGGCTTTACTTTTCTCTTGACAGCTTCACATTTAGGGACATACTGGGGCATAAACTTTAACCTATTTAAAAAAAAGCCAGAAAGTGGAGAGTGACTCTGAAGATAATCTTGTTTGCAGCATATAGAAAATTCTGTGCTATATCACTATAAAGCATAACATAATGCATATACAATATTTAGAATTACTTATCCTGTTTTACTGAAAATGCCAACAGTGTGAGCTTCCACAACCTGGACATTACTTCTACCTGAACAAGGGTCGAGTAAACTTCATCCTGCCCTGCTCTGTTGCCATTTTTAGAGCCAGAGGAATCGCTTCTTCCCACTTGGACTGGATGCAGAGGCGCAGCCATCTGGAACAAATAAACAAACAGAACTTTGACTCGCTGCAGTTAGTCAGCTTGATTCTGCTCCTGTAAACGCCCCAAGCGGTGCTGCTCATGGGAATAGAATTCTGGCATAATTTCAATATAAAATATTTAGTGTCTGTATGGCATGGTACAAAAGCAGACTTTTCTATGTTTTATGAATGAAATGCTTCAACTTTTCTCCAAGATGTCTGATGTTTTTTTCCTGAGGCAATGCATTTCTATTATATTACCGCAGCATCCGCTTGCATCACTCTGAACTGAGTTACACAGAACTTGTCACATGGGACCTAGTTATGAAAAAATTCAAAAAATAAAATAAAAACCCTGCAAACAAAGCCTCACTACCAGCTGGCACATATTTGTTTTAAGTATGGGAAAACGATATTGCAAGAAACCAGGGAAATACTGGTCGAAATACTGGTCGAAAATAATTAGTTTTTTAATAAGGAACAAAGACCTCTAAGTTAGAGGTAAAGTAGAATAACCATCGCTCCTGCAAACGTACCCAGTACATAACAAAGGCAAAATATGCGAGTCATCATGATATTTGAAAATGACTATGACCTCAAAGATACATTGTTTTTAAAAGCAAGTGACCTGTTTTAACAATATGTAAATATCAAGTAGAAGTGGTAAGAATTGAGACACACAACTAAAGCCTCTCCTACCTGTTTAGATACTTCTTTTGATATTTACACTTATTTTAAGAGACAGAAGCTCTGTAATAGCAGGTGCTTGCTCTCCTAGACTACATTTGCCCAACTTGTAAGTAACAATACCACTTTGCTAAGCATGCTTACAAGCACATACAAAACATAGGAACAGCTGCGTCAGTTCAATGAAACACTATGGCTCAAACCATTTATGAAGCAGGGCAATTTGTTTTATGAAAGCATTTAATGCTAGAAAAAGCATCCATACGAGAACAAACCTGAATCGTATTTCAGAATTGTTTATAGCATTGAAGTCATACACTTGCTGCATTCGTTTGACATGTGACAACGGCAGAGGAGCCTGAAAAAGGCAATTGCATAGTCAGAATAAGGCAGAGGCACACCTCAAGGCACATACCTCAAAAATAAACAGGATCATTCTAGAGAACTGAAGTTACATGGGATTTAAAAACTTTAGCTGATAAAATTGTTCCTTTCACCTTTTCAGAGCATCAGGAAAGGGACAATGAGTAATCATTAGCAAATTCCCACATTCAGTACTACCAGCCATTTCAAATCTTGAAGTACATTCTGTTTCATTAGCAGCTTTTATAGCTTATTTGCAGGTCACAAACTTCAATTATAGAGTAAATTCAAGCAACTTCTAATATTCTTTTTATCTTTCAATCCAAAATAGCCCATACATCCCCAGTCAGCTGGAGAACCAAACATAATCAGAGAGGCATGGCTGAATGTTTTAGTGACTATGCACAGTGAGAGCAGGTTATTACAGCAAGACTTTAAAAAAAAAGAGAAAAGAAAAAAAGACAATTTAATTTCAAAGAACATTTGAGCCTCTATGACTGCCTTAGTGATACCAGAAGCAGTACACTCCAGCCATGCATTTACCTCCAGGAGCAACAGTGCCAAGAACTCAATCAACTGATGAGATGATATTCCCTTCAGGTCTGCTGAGCTGAATGAACCCAGATCACTCTCTTTTGCCTAAAAGCAAATAATTTCTTAAGTTTCTAATAGATATTCCTAAACATAAACAGGTGTAACTTCATGTTTGAACATTTGCATATACATGTCACATAGAGCTGGATGGATGCTTTATTAAAAATGTACTGCACTTCACATGCAGAAGCCATAGCAAATTCACAGATTCCACAACAAAAGGCTACTATGCGTAACGCAAAACCTCTGGCAGCAATACTATCATCATTAACAATCTTTCTAAGCAAGTAACAGATCTCAGAAGAGAATGGTTCACCCTGTATAAAGAAGACTATTTCAACATACAGAAACCTCAGTTAAATTCTTAAACTACTCACTTTGATCCATCTTTGGCTCAAGGCAACACAGGCATTTGTTAGCGTCATATCATACCTGTCAAAGGTCATAAAGAAAGGATCACACCTAGGAAACAAGAAGTTTCTGCAATGTTTTTACAAGATGCTTAGGAATTATTTGCTCGTGGCTCCACTTCTTTTTTTTCTTCATTGTAGGCTCCAATTCAATACTGGAATACAATTTACAAACATACTATTCTCATAAAATGTATTTTTGCCTTAGTTATAAGCATTCTGTGCATAAGCGATGCAATCTATTGATCCCTGCACTCCTAAAATGATTGGTTATTTGAGCACATGATGCTTTATTATTTGCACATTATACAGTGTAGAAGAAAAAAGAATATTGTCACAACAAACTGTCAAAGAAAAAAAAAAAAAAAAAAGATACCTTTCCTGGCAACTTCCAAAGCAAAATGAATTTCCAGCGGAATTAAGAAGAAAGCAACTTTAATAATGCTTTTTTTTTCTTATATAAAACATACATCCTTTTTTTACATAGCACAAGGTCATTTTCTAATAGTACATTTGTAAGAAGACTTTCACCCTGATTACAAACTGTTTTATTATCATTTGGAATATCAGCAGCTTTGGAAGGAATAGACATACTGTAACAAAACGTAGCTTACGTGGGTTTCACTGGTGGCATTCCTGGAGCATGCAGCCAAGAGTTCCAGTCTACTTTATCAAGAATATCTACCTATGAACAACACAAGTTCTTAGTGAATTTTAAGAGTCATTTTTAGACAAAGGCATGCCCTATGAAACCAGTTTCAATTTTTTTTTTTTAAAGTACCTCCAACTACCATGCAAAACATTCCAGAAATAGAACAGAGAGCAAACCAACCCACAAACATCATAATGCAAACCCATCTCTGTTAGATTGCAGACTGCATAATATTAAGACCCTGAGATAAAAAGGAGAAAGAAAAAGAACTGGTCCTTATAGAAGTTAATTCCTGAGTTGTGCCATAGCTTGACATAATCAAAAGGTTTTAAATACTACCCAACCTTATCCTTGAAGTAGGAGTACAGGAACGTCTTCCAGTCGTCGGTTACTATGCTCTTATAAGCAAACTGCTGTATATAAGCCTTCAAGAAGCCCATGAAGACATCTAAGAATTAAAAAGAAACAACCCTTTCAGTGTTTGAAATTAACATGGAAAAGAATTATTTGTGAAGCCTAACTAACGCTTACCTGGTCCTCCAAGAAGCTGCTCAAGGTAAAAAAGCAAAGCAAAGCCTTTCTCATACGGAACAGATGAATAGGCAACATCAGGATCTACTTCATTCAGATTGGGGACGAGGTTACTGATGGGATTTTTATCTCCAAGCGTATTTATCTGCAACAAAAATATAGAAAAATACATTCTTGAAAATAAATAAATAAATAAATAAATAAATCACAGCTAATCCTATTTATAAAGATACCATCCCTCCAAAATAGAGACAGCCCAAATCACTGTCTCAATCTTTTTAAGTTTTTCTTAAGTTTTGAATCTGTGCAGTTTACTGAACTTCTTCTCATTTTGCTCTAAGAATGTCCAACCACGCATCAAACAAAAAGACATTAGGATCAATTACCTCATGTTCCCAACATTCCTAAGTAGTCAATTACTGTCACGCATGTTGCAATCATGAGAACTTAGGGATTATTTATTATCAAACTACTTGTTTTAAGTAGGTGGCATAAAAGGTTAAAAACAAAAAAACAAGTGGAAATAAAATACGTAAACTGCATTATCAAATAGAGTGAGAGGCAGCTATTTTGACACAGATTGGAAATCTGAAAACTGAAGTTTACCAATGCTACCTAATCTAACAAAATTTATCATCCTTCCTAGATAGTAATAGATTTGCAAAATGTTCAAGTATAATTCAGTATACAGGAGAAAAGAAACAAAAATCGTGTATTTGTATTTGGCACTGGTGATTCTGATGGTCATGCTTGCAGATAAGCTTGAGGCTCTAAGGGACATAATTCAATGATGGGACCCAGTAGGCTGAACTGATGGTTGGATTGGACGATGTTGAAGGTCTCTGCCAACCTACATGACTCTACAGTTCTTCAATTTTGACAAGCTTTCAGCTGCTTACTGGTAAGTGAACAAGTGACACTACAGTTTATCCATACCCAGTTACAACCAAGAGAGGCTAGAAAGAAGTTCATCCTTATAAAATAGCTCAAAACATTGCAAAAAGCTTTATTTATTTTCTAAGCTAATTATCTTGGGAAGATAACATACCTTGGAATCAAAGTTAGGCATCCTTTAGTAACAAAATGCTAGGAAAGCTCACGTATCTAGACAAGTCTTACTCCTGGGAACAGTGAAATCAGCTTTATTTTAATTACAAGGGCCACTCTGAAAGTAATGCTTCCTACATTGTTATGTTGGCACACAGCATCAGAGGTGGATGTTGGTGGTGTGGCAGCAGAGGTTGAACCTTCCTGCCAACATTCTGTTACATCTTGTTGCCATGAGACAGATGGCAGCAAAGGGGCAGTGTGACAAAACAGCATCTGACAAAGAAGTGCATACGAAGCAAAGGTGTGGAACTGAATTCCTCCATGCAGAAACAAACACACTTGTTGATATTCATTGATGTTTGCTGAGCGTGTATGGAGACCGAACAGTGGATGTGAGCACAGTGAGGCATTTTTTGGGTGATGTGCTCCAGCAGTAGTGACAGTGGGTCACCTCTACTGGTACAGATTTTTAAGAATGCAGCATGCAGGCTCTTGTTTCTTGCTGCCAAAAATGCACAGCTAATGGTGGTGACTATGTTGAAAAACAGTGTTTTCTAGCTGAGAATTTGGTCCATCCAACTGCATTATTGTGCTTATGGTATCTCTTGCAGTTTCATAGTCTTACTTTCAGAGCAACCTGTGTAGGTGCACACCTAAAGTTAACAAAATCTTGAAGATATTTACCGTATTCTGCAGTTCCCTCCATCCTCCTAAGGCTTTGAAGTGCCTGAACTGCTCACCAAACAACCGACCACCAATCCTGCGTTCCAGATATACAGTATGCCCCTCATTCAGCCTGGAAACATACTGATAATGTCAGCAGTGGTAGGATGACAAAATTAATTTCACTATTCTCTTTGCAGATTTTAATATATATTTTGCCTTGTGCTGAACATCATACCTACCAGAAATGCTCCCATGTTTTGTTTGTTACCAAGTTCCCTGTCCAACTGTGAGAGATTTCATGAGCAATAACCTAAAACAGAAAAAGACAGATTTACCTTTTAGGCTCTCTTGAAAACAAATCCCAACAGAAAGGAAAAATCCTAGCAGGATTACTGCACTACATTCCCAAGGTCAACAGATAGTCAAAGATCTGTAAGTTTTTCCATATCAACATCAGTTGGAGGAATAACCCTATGCAATCAAACCATCATGAGAAATAATTCTGAATCTGTAGCTTGCAAATCACAGAGCCAAACTGATCAACAAAAATAATTCTTCTGATAGAACTGTTCAGGTACTTGTTTGTGAAATCACTTTACAGAGCACTGGATACATGTCAAGTAATGGACTAATATTACTTCCTCACAAACCTGCTTGTCTGCTGCAGGGCTGGGATGTTCTAAAGAAGCCAACAAGAAGAAAACAGTTGCCCCCTTGAAGGATAATGATGAACGATACATTAAAAAGTACCCATGTCTAATATTTCAGTGCTCTTGGGACAACCATCACATAAGGAATCATATTCATTTTTTAAGGCAGTGTATCAGTCTAGTAGAGAGACCTATCAGATAAATCAGCTTCCAGAGTACTCAACTTACTGGACAAAATTAGAATTTATTCAATTTGTACTCATCATTTTCACTTTGCAAGTAAGTCATACACAGTGCAAGTTCTAACTCATAGAGGCAGATATACTGAAGAAGTTGCCTACAAACAATTTAGAAGAAAGCAACTTAGTTGTGATTTTTAAACGTATCCATGTTCTCTATATAACACAGGACAGGAAAAAAAAAAGCTACTGAGCAGCTGACTTCAGTCCCCTATATATTAAGGAGGATAAGTCATTTTCATCTGTTCATTATGCATAATGGTTATTTTAGAATTTATTTAGAACTAAAACACACTGTGTAAGACTTTTTGTATCACTGTTAACTTTTAATTCTCCTGATGAACAAGAGGCTAAGTTTTCAGATATTCAATACAAAGCTTAGATGCAAATTCAAGCTATATTCTAATTGAAGACATGAACTTATTTTGCACTTACATTTGATAGAGATCGATCACCTGCCTACAAAAGAAGAAAAAAAGGCAACTGTCATTTCAGGTGAAGCTCAAAATATACCACACAAATCTTTCTGGACAAAAGATGGCCTGCAAATAAACATCCATCATATGATGGATGAGTAAACTCTAAGGAAAGCTTGACTTTCACCATTGTTACACTTACCAATAGGGTTGGAGTTACAAAAGTAAGGCAAGGATTCTCCATACCACCATAAGGAAAAGAAGGTGGTAAGACTAACAAATCATACTGTCCCCATACATAAGGTCCTGCTAAATCTTCAGCTGTCTGCAGCATAGCTTCAGTCTGAAAGAAGAATTCACATTAGTCTATGATACGACTTCTAACTAACAAACACTAGAGACGTTATAAGCTACTGACCACACACTGCATTCTCTCTCATCTCGGAATGTCCCACATGATAAACAAGTAAAACACTGTGCAGCAATAATTATGTTTAGTAATAGTTCTGTGTTGTGCTAGAACAGCAGCATTTTTGGGGTAGGAAGAGGAGAAAGCAGGGCTACAGATGAACAAAACTCTAAGCTACATCCTGTTCCTTTTTCAGTACTAAGTAAAACAATTAGTTTAGAAAACATTTTTGTTAATTACCTACCTCAGCAAATTCGTAGGCTGATTTATCCACCAGCTCCTTTTCAGCCCACACCAGTGTCCTTGGACCAATCTTTCTGTTGGAAGTGAAAATGCCAGTGAGAACACTATGAACTGGAAAACCTTCTATGGGAAACTAACACAGAAAGCACATGTTGATGTGCTCATGGGTAACCCATGATGTTCAAGAACTTTGTTACAGAATCTTCCTCTCCTTTTTCTCTCCAATGCTGAAGTGACACTGGAATTGGCTTCAGAAAACAAAACAAACCACAGCCATCTACAGGACAAATAAATAGGGAATGCATTTACAGACATTAAAATGCTGCTAAGCCCTAATTCGCGGGCATTATTACTGGTTGGATTAACACATCCTGAAGGCTGAAGCCTTCATTTTCTGCCTTTTGTACAACAGTAGGCTTATTTGTTACTAGAGAAAAAAAATACATTTTTCCTTGAGCTAAAAGAAGCTCTCAGTGGCTCCAATCAGCTCTAAAATCTTCATAGTTGATCTTAATGCAAAAGTATACTGAATAGGAAAATAATGCAAGAGTGAATCAAGATTTCAGTAAGGTGAAGTACTGTAGAACAATTCAGTTTCAGGATGAAGAGAAAGTTCACTTCCTCACAGGTTCACTGAACCTCTCAGACTTTTAAAAACTAGAAATTTGATCAAGTGACCAAAGAAAAACTCATAAAAATAACAACAACAAAAATAAAACCTGTGAATATTTTTTTCTTAACCGCTATTAATATTTACACTTTGTGCAGATTCACTCACCTGCTTTCTAAATCTCCAACCACTAAAGCAATTAAGTAGGAAGGTATGGGAACCTAAAGGAGAACATTAAAAAAAAATTACATTATTTAATGCAAGCTGCCAACATCATTGATTCAAGCAAAATAAAACAATGGTACATAAGGTAAGTGTACACGTTTCCTCTATAGCTTTTTGCCTTACATTATTACAAAGGTACTGTTATTTCTCTCCAAATGATATTTCTTCATCTACAAGTACTTGTTCCATTTATCTTTCATACAAAGGACACAATTTTTTTAAGTGTTATTTCTGCTTGAAAAGGAAAAAAAAAGAAATCTGTAGCTATAAAGGCATACAAAAAAACATCACTTGTTTGGTAAGCATTCAAAAGAAAGTCAGTTTTCCAAATGAATTCCAGTACCATTAAGTCATATTTGTTTTCATTTCACATATTAACACAACATCTTCTGGAAAAGATTTAAGTCCATTGACTTGTGTTATAGAGAGGTTATTAAAAGATTAACAACAAATTCCCACATTTTGATGCCTGATAAGTTAGGATCAAGTTCTGAAATGACTTCAACTCTCAACAGCTTTTGGGTCATAAATCCATTTTACAGAGATTGCTCTCCACTACGCTTCTCCCAGGCCAGGATCAAAGGAACAAAGAAGTGATTCTAGGTAAGCTCAACATATATACATATCCAAGAATTCGATGAATCTGACGTTATAGGTTGCGCAAGTCCACTCGACTTATCAGCAGCGTATTTCTAGATAACGTACAATGAACACCAAAGCTTTATACACTAGACCAAGAGCATAAAATGTTTTTGGCTCTACTGAGCAGGTACAACACTGTACTGAAGCTCACAGATGAGGTAACTATTTGTTTTCCTCTCTTTTCTCAGGTTTCACACAGCAGCCAAATCAGTCCAACAGCAGCTGCAGTTCAGAGGTTCCACTCCTCTCTCCAGCCACCCAAGCCCATCTCACCATGCACTTACTCAGACCTTCACTCATCCAGATCATTTCCCTTTGCTTAATTGTTTTTCCTGCCCGTTGAGCAATATGAACTAAGCTCACTAGGAGATCCCACAAACACCAGGACTGTAGCCAATAAGGCTGTGAGAACAAAAGCTAGGAGAATAAATTGAGACAGCCACATTAGGAACAGTGGAATCATTGAACTAGCTGCACTACATAACGAATCCGCAATCTTTAATTAGTTGGAGATGCTTTCCATGAAAGCAGTAAGACCTCAGGCAGCCCTTTCCTTACTAGCCTGTAGCACTTACATTCTGACTGAATCTGTAAATCTTCCGACTGCTGTCCTCTGGGTCAGGCATCTCTCCATCACGACCAGCACTCATAAGAGCCACCAACTCTTTGGGAACAGAGATCTGAAAGAAGGCATTGCAGCCATGAGGAACTCAGCCGGCATACAGTGTTACATAATATACTAGAAGCAGCTGGAGCAAAGACAGTAGCCCAGATGTGTCCTATTGGAAAACTTTCCCCCTCAAATTGAAAATGTTGCTTCAGGGGCTGGTAATACTGAATTAACCAAAAGGACGACCTTCAACAAGTGTTCAAGGTTTCACTTTCTTTTGGCTACTGATCATAGTGCACATCTCCCTTCTTGCTTCTTTAAAGCAACCAGATTATTTACACCAACACTGCAAAGATACCCCAGCTACGCACCAGAACACACAATTACTTAATGCATACAGGAAAGCCATTTCAAGTTATTTTTTACTTTGCAGCACTTTCTGTTGTTTTGCTCTCAGATTTGCCAGATTTAAGATTCTTTTTTCTACTTCAATACTTTTTTCTCTTTTTAGAAATAAAGATACATGTGAATGATGAAAAGATGTATATAAATAAAATGGTAAAGCCAGAGAAG